GATACTTGGTGAATCATTTCTGCAGTGGAACAATTATTTTGAAAACAATTGTTTATATTTGGTCACTGTCTCAGAATGCCAGAAAAAGTACATTTTTCTAACTATAAGGTATTTGTAATGTGAAAAAGAAAACCACAAAACATAATTTGTTAAATATAGTCTTTGAGCATGCCAGCAACGTGAACTTGTTCTTTTTTTTCCTGCTAGTAACAAAACAAGGAATTTCTACTATATGGATAGAGTAAATGTTAATTATCAATAAAATATAGGCCCCACAGGGAAATGACCAAAATATATTTATTTTTACAAGGCTAACCTGCTATACACCTTAAATATTTCAAGCCTTGTAAAAGAAAACAGTCATTATAAAGAGTGATGGAGAGTTCTTCATAGAGAAGTCTTCTAAAAAGCTTCAGACACATTTCAGAGTAGTTTGCATCAGCAATGCAATCTCACTTAGCTTCAGAAATGTCTGTGTGTACATGGGAATACATGTGCATCTGCTCTTGGGTCTTCAACCTATTTAGGTTTTCTGTTGGAGTGTGCTTTCAGGGCTTTGCTCCAGGCGTCATATTGAGCTGTGGAAGAATCTCTCTCACTGACAGAGTGGTATAGACAGGATTATTTTTTCAGTTCAGGTCTCTCTCCCACCTCCTGCTTCTTGGGCCAGCACATTTTTCATGACCTGGGTGTCAATAAGCACTCTGCTGGGGCTTGCTTTGCTGAGAAATCAGAATTCAAAGCAGGAACGGGAGAAGCTGGGAACAGAACTGGAAGATGTGTAATGATGTATATATTGTACTAAAAGAAAGCAATCCCTTTTTCCTCAACATATCACAGGCAGTTTAGTGAGTCTCACAGAGCCTCAGGAGTACTTGCTGGCCATGGGGTAATAAGGTGCATGTGGCTGAAGGGGAGGAAAACTGGGCAGGCAGGAAAAGGAAAGGCCGTCAGAAATCCTCCTCAGTATAGAAAGAAGAGTTTTGTTGCTGATAGTTGCCATTGACTAGCTAAAATGGGTAATAATGGGAAAGATATATGGGATAATCTACAGCCACACAATCCTGCACACTTTAGTACAATTATGACCATGTTACAGCATACCTGTCATACCCTGTCCTTTCTTTTCTGGTTTTCATGATAATGTATTACAAGACTTTGTGGTAATAGCTAAAAAAGTAGAAAGTAATTTTCTAAACCATTATGATTTTGAATACATTACCCCATCTCAAACTCATTCCAACATCACTGCAGAATTAAAGGAAAATAGGAATTTTAACTGCGCACTGAGTACAGGACTGGGGAAAAATAAAAATAAGGCAGCTGACCACTGTCACAAGTGTCACAGATAGAAACCCTTCTTCTTAACTTTCGTTATTCCAATTTGCATGCAATAGATTGTGGCTTAAATTTCTTACTCAGCTACTCAGAGTAAATCAGTGAGATTTAGGCATCACTTAGGCATTGTTAAGAATATACATGGTGGATACAGAATCGCGTCCCAGATTTTTCTAGAATGACAGTAGACACTTTCTGGGCATGAGATTTTAAAAAATAATTAGAGCATATGTGAATCTATGCCTTACAAATAGGCAAGTATATCATACAAAATACATGTGAGTAAGGATAAAAGGTCCTATTGAAATAGATTGCATTCTGGTATGGCAATTCTGTGAATAACTATTTTGAAAGTTGGTTTAGAAAATAATTAAATGTAAAGTCATTTTAATATACAAATGTCTGACAGGAACTTGAAGTCCAACCCTTAACCCTGAAAAAAAGATAAAATAAATTTAGATTAAAAAAGGATTTGAATTTCTCTAAAACCCACAGAAAATGTTACCATTTAGTAATGACATTCCCTCTCCATTTGACCCCAGCTTGACATGTTGAATTGCTCTGAACATCCGCCACCATGTACAGAAAGTCTTACTTCTTAACTCTTGCTATTCTAATTTGCACACAAAAGTACATTAAAAGGGATGTTAAGGCTGTGACATAGAACAATAAAAGCAGCAAATTCATAAGTAATTAGGAAACATACTATACAAAATGTTCTCCAGTGCAAAAGGGCTAATATATCACAGAGAAGACGATAGAGTTCTATGAGAAAACAGTGGAGCTTTCTGATACATAATGCCATGTCCCCGTTTTACGGGGAAAAAAAGAGTAACTGCAGCTGGTAGAGACTAGCATAACTATGTGTGCTTATAAAATATTATGGCTAATTCAGAGGCGAGGCCAGCACCATTCATTCAGAGGTGTGGAAAACCAAAGGACTGCCTACAAAATGTTTTAGATCTCTGTTCTCCTATGTAAACTATGTTTATGAAAGCATGAAAGGCACCTTCAATTCTTTCCTTTATCTTTACTCGTAGTTTGCTCCAAATCCCACTGAAATCAGGTGGAGAGAAGCAGGGGTCAAACAGTACAGAGGTGAGCATGCTTGATTCTTCGTATATATGGGTGACTGTCAGCTTTCATGCAAGGAAGGCTGAAGGTGCTAGACTGATGCGAACAAAGACTTAGACACTTACTTTAGATGGGTGAATAGTTCCGCCAGCTTCCCACAGGCTTCAGGCACTGCCAGAGTTAAACACTAACATGTTGTCAGAAGGATGGCTCAGTAAGTAGGCTGGGATTTGTTACTGGACCACTAATGTCAGTGAGACATAGGGCTACATCATGGGCCTCTGGAAGATGACATTGCAAGCTCTTTGGGAACCCGCTTTGAAGAAGGGGAGCAGGAGTTGTTTTGGATTGGGTTTTTTTTCACATCTAAAGCACTCAGCACAATTGTAAGAGCTAAATAATTTATCGGCATGGTTCAGGGACATATAAGTTTTGCCCAACGGAGAATAAATTGATGATAGCATTAGCTACTTTTGGTATCATCCCATCTATTTATCAAGAAGGTATGAGGTCCAATTTCTGTGAATATTGTAAGAAACAACAGGCAGTAATTTTTTGCTTATATGGCCAAGCCTCATTTTGCTAGTACCTTTCCCCAGACGTCTTTCACAGATACTTTCTCAAGACCAAGCTGTCAGTGTTTCTGCAGATGCAGCCCGGCCACAGCTTAAGACTGTCCAAGTTGGAGCTGCCATAATTGCAGCCTGTGCCGCCTCCAGTATCACCTATTTGTACTTCATTCACAGTGGTGACTCAGTAAAGGGAGCAGTGATATGAATAAAGACAAAACAATTATTTTGTTTTAACAGATTAGTTCGTTCCCTGAATCAGTGCACAGAGCAATTTCATGACCAGGAATAAGCAGCCAAGAGCTGGTGAAGGGAAGGCCATTACAGATCCCAACTGGATGGGATTATGCCACTGCAGAACTGGGCTCTGGGTCTCCTCTTCCTCCTTTCTTGTGTTCCTGCTGTTTCTTGTCCTTGCACAAAATTTTCAATAAATAAAAGCTAGTGAAACTCTTTCTACTTACACTTTGCAAATATATTCTGGGTAGAGACATGTCTCTAGTCAGAAGGCAGGCTACTAGTTACATAAAGGAGTTAAACTGTTTCTTATGGGCTGCATGCTGTTAAAGGTGGCGGTTACATATTCCTTCTTCAGAGGAATCCAACTCAGCCTAAAGCACAATTGTTAGCATTTGTTGATAGTACTTTGTTGGTTTTTTTCTGGGAATTGAGGAACAATGGAAAACAGATTCATTTTTTTCCCTAAATGAACAGATCAACCTTAGGCTTATTCATAGGGTCATGGTGTTCATTTCTTGCAAGTATTCAGATGATCATCTGGTATTTGTGAAAATGTTTTCAGTTCTGAAATTATTGTACAAGCAGCATTTGTCTGGGAATGAATATCAGAACTGTATTATCTTTTATTCACTATTTCTCATGTATCATTTTTCTATTTTAAAAATGTCTTCCAATCAAAGAGCAGAAAAAGATCATATTAACTCAGTTGAAAAATGTCAGTCCTTCTACCAACTGGAAAAAGCAAACAGCCAGTGGACTCTAAATGGAAGCCCAGTGAAGATACTCCTAATAGTTTCAATAGGATTTGGTGTCAGGGAGCAGCAAGCATGAGGCTGCTCCAAGAGGGAAGACAAGCCAGGAGATGATGACCCCAGCACAGGCAGAGTCAGTGCCCTCACCAATGAGATGCAGACAATTTTCTTGAGAGAATAATAAAGGTAAGAGGCAAAAAAAACCCCTTGAGCCAAATTTCCCCTCTAGATGTTAACAAAAGAAGTGTTTCACCCTAGCTGATTTTGAATATCTTAAGTAGTTCTGTCAAGGTCCTTTGTAAACACTTTCTAACCACCCTAAGTTTGGGAGTCAAGATTTTCTTTGCAATCCCTTCAAATTATCCACGTTTGGATTTCCTCATCCCAGTAGGCCCCTAAATTATTTATTGGCATTTTGACTTTACCCGGTAAAACAGTAAAAGCTTTGTTCACACACCAGCAGCTGAAATACACATACTTAGCTCCAAAAACTCTTCCTCTTCATTTAATGCTCCTAGAGACTTTTTCTGTATCCCAGGTCCCATATGCCTATGTGCATCTCACTTATCATCCAGTTTGCTTTCTTCTATCACTCCTACATCTCTTATTCTATAATCATAAGGTCTCTGATGCTATCACTCCGATATCTCTTGTTTTTTCACTCTAAAGGTCTCTTGTTCTCTCACCCCTAAATATCTCTTGGTATAGCAGGTTTCTCCAAGTTTCACCCACTCCTTAAGTCTGTTGTTGTCTGCTGTCTGTTGTCTGTTTTGATCTGTTATTGCAAGCATGAAACAACTAGAAAATTATGTATTTTGTTTGAAAGATAAAGTAATTTCCTTGTCCAAGTTTCTAACCTCTCTATGATACTTCGTATCATTTCTTGTTTCTTGCAGTATCTCTCAGCCAGCTTAGTATACAATAATATTGTTAACATGCCGGCTGCTGCTTCATCTTGAGATCATCAAGTACGCTATTAAAGGCTGGAACTACTATTTAAGAGCACCACTGCCCTCCACAGGAGAGAATGGCAGACATACTCAAGTGTGTCCAAAATACCATCTCTGTAACAGCCACACCTTATGGAGAGTCTTCTTCATCTCATCTGGCAGAAACCATTGATTGTCAGTGCAATGGTCTGAAAGGACAGAAACGTGAAAATGGTATGTTCCATATATTGGTGAGATAACCTAGGGAATGAAGATTCTCAGAAACCCTGCCCATCTATTCTCAACAGCCAGTTGCAACTGGCTGTTGATTTATGAATGAATACTCCCTCCTTAACTTTACACAGCCACACCTTATGGAGAGTCTTCTTCATCTCATCTGGCAGAAACCATTGATTGTCAGTGCAATGGTCTGAAAGGACAGAAACGTGAAAATGGTATGTTCCATATATTGGTGAGATAACCTAGGGAATGAAGATTCTCAGAAACCCTGCCCATCTATTCTCAACAGCCAGTGCCAACTGGCTGTTGATTTTTTTGCTTCTGGGTAAAACACAATGAATGAATACTCCCTCCTTAACTTTACCACTTGATCAACAGTAGACAGAAAAGTTAATCCTTTGATCTTCTTCTTGTGAAAGCCTGCATCATGCAGTTTATTCCTATGAGTCACCTCTCTGTCTCTGTTAATCCATATCTCCCAGAGCAAACATACCTTGTTCTTATGAAATGCTTTTTTTTTGGAAGCTCCTCACTTGCAGAGAAGCCTTACTGTCTACTCAGAAGCACTTGGGTCTTAAAGCTGATGAAATAATTTAGTGGATGATTTCTCCTGTAAATCCAATGCAGTAATTATCCTACACTGAGATCTACACCTTCTTCCTCTCAGCTTTATGTTTACTGCAGAGACTATGAAGTGTCCCAGTCTTCGGTAAAACTCACTTTCACAGGGTCAGTAGCTGCTACTGAACCAGATCAAAGAGAATAAAGAAGAAAGCCCTCAGTGCTTTCTTAGTGCCACTTAGTCTACTGAACTGCATCCTTAGTTTGCTGTTATATGGTCTTGATTCACCACTACTCCAAGTCAATTATACTGGAGTATGGCAAATGCTGAATAACTGAATTTGAAAATAGGAAGTATTTTTCACAAGGTAACATTTCTTTGGGTGCCTGAATATTTTTTCTCTTTATCTAGAAGCTACTGATTAACTGCATTACAAAAGATCAGTTCCCAACACAGAGAATTAGGACTGGCCACATCACTCTCATCAACATTAACAGACGTGCTCATCTATAAAGTCAGTCCTTCTTTACCTTTACAAGTAGTGAAGTATTTTGAGATAAGACCTTCACAGAGGGAAAGTGAGTAATATTCGCTCTTTCACTTCTGGTTTACCCTGGAGTGACTCCACCAACATCAGCAATGAGTTGTCTCTTTTTTTTTCCCCCTATAAATAAACAAGAGAGTGGCCAGTTTTGCTTCTCATTATTTATAAATAACAATGCGAAGTGTTATCTCAGAAGGGAATATTGGTACTGAAGTTACATATCCTTTACAAGAGGGATTTACAATGGGAAATATACAGAAAGAAGCTATACCCTTCGTATTGTAATTAAGCTTTTAAAACATCCAATAATTCAGTGTTATTTGTTTTTCCTTTCTTTGATGAACTGATAAATGTCACTTGAATATTTGCATGAGCACTCAGTAGAGAAGCTGGTTTCCTTCAAAAGAAAATAGCATGCACACTTATTCCTCCTCTACTGTATATAAATTCTAAATAGTACCTTGGCAGAATTATGAAATAAAAATGAATGCTTTTAAAGGCATTTGTGGAGTCTGGGGAATAAATGATAGAATTTTCTTATATTTCTCATACATGCAGATAACAGATACATTTAATGCAAGAAGGAAATAGAATTTTAATAGAATTTTTAACTAAAGATCTTGAAACAAAACTAGACATACATTTTAATTGAATTTCTGGCTCAAATTACAGCAAACCATTATAAATCATTAGGAATCAGTTTTAAAACTGCTTTCACTTTTACCCGTATTACAAACACAGAGGTAAGCTTTTACAGCTACAGATAAGTGTTAATAAATTACCCGAATTTCAAAATTAATGGCTGCCCGGCTGCTTTGGGGAGATATCATTGTGTTTCATGAATATTTTGATTTTGTGATTAGATCAAAATGCACTGAATTCCTAAACAGTCATAACTAAGGTCTGCTGATCATAAACTGTTCTTTTTTAATAAATTATATTCCTCACAAATCTGCTGATATGGAATAATTAGAAATTGGTTGCCTGCATTTACTGTAATATTTGCATGACTTTAGATCTCCACCTACTGATCTAGTGGCTGGCAGGAAATGTACATTTTGTACATTTCTAAATATACCTTGCCTGCAGAGATAATGGTTTATATTGTGATGTTAAGAAGGTTTTTATTTGCAAAAAACAAAGAGGTGTCACTTGCCAGTTCTGGAAGACATTGATTAGGCTGTTTATGTCATTCCTATTCAGAACTTATTATTTACAGCTTTCCTGTTTCCTTTCCTTTGTAGGAGATAATGATCTGTCTCTTGTAAACTGCTTAAAGTGTGCCTATTTTCTCCTTTTTTAGGGAGTCTTGAAATACATTTTATAGAAGGCAAGCATATTGAAATGAAATGTAAACGGTGTAAAATACAGCATATTAATCGAAAACGATATCTGTCAGTATAATCTTTAAATTAAGTGGTATACAAATATTTATAGTTAGGGAAAATGAAAATTGCAAATCCATTCTTCATTGTGGAAGGCACATGCATCTCAATGTGATCCTGTAAGACATATATACTCTATAATTAAATACACTTACATTTTGGAAACTATTCATTTTAACAGTACTGTACATGTGCATATCTGTTTTTTGCTACAGATCTTCATTGCGGGAAGGGAGTGTGCATTGCTAGCTGGTATTCAGCTCTCAGAATGGCCTAAGCACACAGTGTCCCTGTAGATTCTTTATAACCAGGTGCTTTAGGGCACATTTCAAATATAGAAAGGTGTCTTCACTTTTCTGGCATATGCAGTAAAGATTTAACACATTTGTTAATGCTTACAGTACACTCTGCATCAAAGAGGCAGGCTACAGCCTGCTATGTAACATACTTAGATGACAGGAGAAGGACAGTATTTAGGATATTCACATGCTAAAATTAGAATAATCCTCCATTTCAAAAAAAAGCAAATAGAAATTGTTACCATTGCCGTGGCTCTGTAATGTGAATGATAGATCAAGGAAAAAATACCGACGACAGGCAAAATCTTCAGCCAGTTCACAAGACTTATAATTTATTCTAATGATACTATCTCTTTTTGAATTAAAGTTGACCCTGCTGCCTATTTTCTCCCCATGCTACTGGAGTTGTTACTGCAGCTCAGTGAACAGCTTCTTACTCCCACACTGGACAACTGGTCCTGTAAACTAGAAGATATGCAAAGTGATCAAGGACGAAGTTGGTAATTGCTCACAATCATGCTCTTTTGACATTTCAGCCAAGTCTTTGTGCTGTTTATTTTCTGGATATTTATCCCATTCTCCCTGGCAGCATGACCTACTTGCATTAAAACTTAATACTGAGTTTCATCAGTAATGTATCATATACCAATGATGTTGGATTCGATGATCTTAGAGGTCTTTTCCAACCTTAATGATTCTATGATTCTATGATTCTATGATTCTAATTTCAACTCTCCCCCAAATTAAATGTATTTTCCTTTTTAAGATAAACAAAATCAGTGCTGTAGAACAACTCCAGTGCCTCCACTTGTTGAATCACATGTATTGATTGATGCTTCATCACTAGCCCTCAAAACTGCCATAGAAACATTAATCTGTATAGCAAGTACTTCTTCAACCCTGAAAAATGTCATAATTTGGCCAAGCACAGATTAATAAATGTGGTGATAAAAAAGGAAATCATATGTGTCACATCCTTTCCACTGGTCGTACTGGAAACCAGATTCCCTGGCGAGGTCCTAGCCTGGCTCAGTGGCTGATTCAGAGCCCGGTGGTGTGTTGGCCCTACTTCAGCTCGTTGTTTCTAGCCTGTTAACTTCTAGTCAGAAGCAAACTCAAATGGCAGGGTGTGTCATGTGGAGTGGCTTTCTCTGTCTGCATAGGTAGGGCACATTGCCTAGGCAGGGGGCTGTGTGACCCACTGCCATTAGAGACACAAAAAACAACAAAGGAGGAAGAGGTTCTCCTAGCACCAAACCTTAGGTACTTTAGGTGCCTAAACTGGAAGTCTTTGGCTCTAACAAAGGTTTCTTCAGCAAATGTTTCAGGCAGGAAATTAGCTTAGGCAGCCTAAAGTTTCCTCTAGAACTTGGAAGCTGAGAAAAACCAGCCTCCTGACTTAGGCATGCAAATTAGGCATCTAAATTTGGCCAAGGAGAATACTAGTGAAAAGGAAAACTAATTATACAAATAACTAATAACTGTATAAAGACAGCACACAATGCAAATCATTAATAATTGAATTGAGGTTGTTTTTTTTCCTAAACTTTTAAACTAGAATCTTAGAAATAATCTGGAAAACAAGACTGAAACAGGAACAAATAAATAACCAGGCTGATGTATCCTCCAGAACTCCTGACATCCAAGGAAAATTTGGTGCTCTGTGGAACGGAGACCTATAGATAGAAAAAGCACATGGCCTAGAGTCAGAAAAAAAATGTTTTATTTTGAAAGCTGTGTTTGACCAAGATTTCCTTAAAAAGTACTGTGTAGGACATGAGAGCTGCTATGGTTACACCAGTGAGATTGTCTTATTTGAACCTAAAAATTCTGTGAGAATCCTAATTCTACCCTTAGTGGATATTGCTAACTCCCATTGATGTTAGTTCTTCATGGGACAAAATTTGGGCCGGAGGATTGTTAACTGGTATAATTCTTATGAAAAGAGAATATACATTTCTTCTTGCAAAGAAATAACAAGGGATAATCTGAAGTGCTCTAAGCCACCATCAGGAGGAAGAATTATTATCTTTTCTTTTCACAAGAAAAAAGAACCCACGTTTAAGCTAATATTGACAGATCTCTGCAGACCAGAAGAGAAACAATCCCGCAGCCTAAGCAAAGCAAAGAGATCAGTCTCCGACATCCATTCAGAGAACAGCTGCTGGTGAAAGAGAACAGAGGAGCCGAGAGCTGGAGGAACAGATGTGTCTGATGAGACGTGTGCAGGGCATATTCGTGGGACCCAGTAAGTAGGCCTAGCTATTTAGCAGATTTTGTAAAGTACCTTTTGTGTGGAGAATAAATAGACTAAAATATGATCCTGAAGATTTCAGGATCATACATGGTGTAAGAAACCTGGGTAGCATCAGTGTTCTGCTGCTGAATTATTTGTACCTGTGCATGTTTGCATTAGCGATAGTGACTTCAAAGCACTGTGGTGACAGTCATTCTGCATAATGCCAAACAGCCAAGCGTGTTTTAACAAGGAGGCAGGATTACATTTTCAACAGTTCTGGTGCTATTTGCTTTGTGCAAATGCTTAATTGTATGCTAAATTGACTGTAGACATGATCTATTAAAGCTCGGTTTTTCAAGGGTACCTCAGGGAGTTAGCATCCACCTCCCCGTGACATGCAGTGTGATTTGGGCAGGGAACTCCCTTAGGCTCGTGTGACTATTCCAGCCTCATTGTACATTTCTGGGCAAACGTGACAATCATTGTCCTGACTGGGGTGGGCTAATTAGTTAATATTTATATTGTGTTCTGCAGACTGTAAAGTAGGAGAGAAGTGCTAACTGCTGTTATTATTATTGAACTACAACAAGACAAAGCCAGGGAAACCTCTCCTGGACCCCTCAAGTGACAGCTACGAGTCACAACCCTGTTTGCATGGGATTTTGTTAAAACACCCAGCCCCAGGAAAAGCCTCGGCAATTTTTTGACATCGTATGTCTACATGTGCTGATGGCTCCTGTCCCTGAGATACAGGGAATTGCACACGTGTGAGGTGAAGAGGCAGCATTATCCCCTACTCCCGAGGAAACAGAGGCCAAATACCTTTCCCTAGGTCACAGTGAAATGCGGTGTCAAAGACAGAGAGCCCTGATCTCCAGTATTGCCTAACAGTACTTAAACTGCAGGACTACTTCAGTATATAGTCAAAAACAGTGCTTAGTCTGCAGCATGCAAACTTTGGGGATTTCGGATTTTGCTTGTAACTTTCCTAAGTCCTTCCTCAAGAAGCAGACTGATCCTCTTGGTGTCCTCCATTCCTACCTGGGCATCCAGAGTCTTCTTTCTTCCATCACTGGCCTGATCCCCTTCTCTGCAGATCTGAGCTCCCTGGACATGGTGATCATGATGAATGACCTGGTCTAGAGATTGGGAAGATTGTTTTCCCCTTATGGGTCTATTTGGAAAGGATCACAAAAGAAGGACCAGTCAGGACTAAATGAATAGGAATTTCATATTAGCAGAAGACATGGAAATATTGAGCATGTTGCTACTGCAGTCCCTTGCAGATGAAGACAAAAGAGGCCAGTTGCCAGAGGTAACTGAGACGTGGGGCTGGTAACATTTGGCATGTCAGAAGTCCCTCTTCATTTGCCTCTATTCCATCAGGGCAGAGGATGGCAGTGTTCAGAAATGAACGGCGTCTTTGGGACAGGATGAGAAAAGTCAATCTCTACTTGGTAGAGCTTTGGTATAAAGTGGTATAAAGCTTTCCAGCTCTCACTGGAACCAATTTAATGCCTGATGTGTGTGGGAACATCCCTATCATTATCAAGTTGAAATAATATGCCTTCTGTTCACATCCATCCTTGTGCCTATGTGTAACCTAGCCTCTACATACTTGGAGGCTTTGCAACAAATTAAGAGTGTTCCATGAAGTGGGAGAAACACAAGGTTGCCTCACACATGCTTGTATTTTTAGAGTAGCCACTGACAATGGCTAAAGAAGGGTAAATTATAGTTCCGCTGAAGAAGACAGATGTGCAAAATACTGATGCATTACCTAGATTCTGCCTCACCAAAATGACAACTGGATATGGTAAAAGCAAACTCTGTTGAATAAGGGGAGCATTACCTATGAATATTTATTCATACACATATGCGTGATAAATTTCTTCAAAATGCAGTTGCAATCATGACTGGCATGTGGAAAAGAGCTCACAAATCTGAAACAGACTGAAGTTAGGTAGAGAAAATCAAGGGGAAAAGGGATATCTTTAAATATGTTCAACTCAGGAGAACAAATAAACCCAAGAGTAGACCCCCCTAGCACCACAGCGATCATCCTAGAGGCACCTGTGTTAAGTATGAGCTAGGATGCGTACCCACACAGCAAAGAAAGATGCTGTGAAAAGATAACGCTTTGGGACTCAGAAGCAATATAGATGCTGTTGAAGATCATCCCTCCTGATGCCAGGGGTAGTTCCCAGCTGCTAGGTGGCCTTGCTCTGTGTTATTGTATAGTGTCGTGCAGGTGTCCATTAAGATCCAGTGAATATTGCGGAGGCAAGGGCAACCCCACTAATTGTTGCTCTTGCTGCTGCCATGCCCCGTGGAGTTTTTTTGCCTGCAGTATGGGAGCGGGAGCTCGCTGTCCCTCTGGTGAGATTCCTTGTCTCTTTGATTAACTGCTTAGCCTGTTTTGGGGCAAGCTCCTTAGGCCAATATTTTCAAAATTAAGCACATCAACCAGACACTTGAACCCATGTTAGGCACTTCAAAGAGTGGACAGGTTCCTCATCATGTAAGAGCTATAGTTATCACAAGATTGATTTGGAGGTATTTGTGCTCAGCAGCTCTAAAAACTAGGCCATTTTTATTTAGAGTCCTAAAGCCAAAATCAAATACTTTAGGCAACTTCATCCTGAACCTTGGTCCTAATCTCTTTTTTAATTCTCTGCTAAGTAGAAGGATGCAAATAGTTACTGTATAGAAAAATCAGTGTTGTTTCAAAGATTAGTTAGGGCTTGTAAAATGTTATGCAACATGTTAAAGCATATCCATTTTTATTCTGTACAGACAGTGAAAATAAAAGCTAATCACCTTTATCTAACTTTTTCTATCGCCCACATCACAGTATTATTCAAGTTGTACATTAAACTTGTTTCCCACATGGGTTGTCTCTCTATAGAGTGAGAATGGTTGTGGGACGGTTGCTTTGGATCGTGGTTATTTTGTTTTAAATATAAAAGCTTCTTTGGGTTTCTGTTAGAGAATTCAATGAAGAAGAAGTTTTCCATCTGCTAAGAAAGATATTTGATGAAGTTGACATGGGGAAGATCAAGAAAACATTTACTCATACAGAGGAATGTTGGCATTTACTTCATTAAAGAATGATATGAGGGCCAAATAAAATAATACTAAGTGTCACGGTTTAACCCCAGCCGGCAACTAAGCACCACACAGCCACTCGCTCACTCCCCCCTAGCAGGATGGGGGACAGAAGCGGAAGAGTAAAAGTGAGAAAACTCGTGGGTTGAGATA